TCTCTCTGTGTGTGTGTGTGTGTGTGTGTGTGTGTAACAGCCCTGGCTGTTCTAGAACTCACTCTGTAGACCAGGCTAGACTCAAATGTACAGAGATCCACCTGCCTCTGCTGCCCAAGTGCTGAGTTTAAAGGTGTGTACTATCCCTGCAAGGCTAGTATATATACTTGGCACCACTGTAACCCAAGATATGTTTTAATTTTTCTAATTTTCAAAACAATTTATGAAGGAATTCTATTAGTTCCTACATTTTACAGAAAAGGCAACTAAGGAAAAAAAGGTTAAGAAACCCCTTCAGGGTCACAGAGTAAATAATGGTAGAATTAAGAATCCAAGAGCTAGCTGGGCAGTGGTGGCGCACACCTTTGAGGCAGGCAGATTTCTGTGAGTTCGGGGCTAGCCTGGTCTACAAAGTGAGTACCAGGACAGGCTCCAAAGCTACATAGAGAAACCCTGAATTGAAAAACAAAACAAAGAATCTAAGAGCTAGACAGTTCTTAGTGCCTATAGCTGTCACCCTAGCACCTGTGATGTAGAAGCAGGAGGGTCAGGAGTTGACTGTCACTCTTGATTACATATCATGTTTGAGGCCAGACTAAGCTACATGAGGCCTTGTACTGACATATCACAGTGGCTAAAGCAATTGCCTAGCATGTAATTAGAAACACCATCTCTAATGTACCCCAGACCATATGTATCACTACTATGTATCAATTAGAAACTGTATGGCAGCAAGAGTTTTAATTTGTTATATATAATGAGAATTTACAATTATTTTTAATTGAGGATTTTAAGTGGAAAAAATGAAGCAAAAGAATTCCATGTTTTTCCCAACTGTAGAGACATAAACCTTCCTTTTTTTTTTCCTTTTTCTTTTCAAGACAGCATTTCTTTGTGTAGCCCTGGCTGTCCTGGAACTTGTTCTGTAGACCAAGCTGGCCTAGAACTCACAAAGATCTCCCTGCCTCTGCCTCCCAAACAATTTTAAAATACAGGCAACTGAGAGTGTGGCTACATCTTGACAGAAAAAACATGCACTGTGCCTCTCTGCTTTGTCCAGTTCTGTCAGGGGTTCCTGCATCAGTGTGCTGGGCAAATGTAGGACAGACACTTCAGGGTTTGCTTTTTTCTGCTTGAAATCTGTTCATCCATTATTACTGACACAGAGATACCATGCCTAAGGGGCAGCACTAACGATGGTTTACATAAGCCTAGGCCATCTCCCCCACACCATAGCAGTGGTATAAGACATTCACATGACGCTTGATGGGATCCACGACAAAGTAAGAGAATGTCTGCTCATGCTCTTTAGCTGAAGGGTAGCACACACCAGCAGAGTCCTGAAAAGATAAGCCTGGATTATTCAGGGTTAAACCACTTCCAAGTCTTTGACTATCACACATTTTTCTGCCCAAGTATCATGAAACACAGGCAGGTATAGTGGCAGACATCTTTAATTCCAGTCCTTTGGGTGGCTAAGGCAGAAGGACTGAAATTGAGGCCAGTCTGGGATGCATAGCAACATATCTGTCTCCATAAACAAAATTCATGAAACATATGTAAAATTTTTGATAATAAATCAGCAATAAACTGCCAGTAGTATTATTAACAGTGCAAATCTATTATACACATGTACCACAACTGTTAAGTCTTGCCCTTATGGAATGTACAGTTCAATCATATTCTTTCCAGGATATTTTTGCTGTTTTGTTATGCTTTGTTTAATTGTATACCCCAGGCTAGCCTCAAACTCATGGTGACTCTGCTTTGCTGCTGGAATCACAGGTGTGAGCCACTATACCTGTTG